GCCCTCCTGTGGGTGCGCGGCGGGCGCGCTGCCCCGCGCCCTGCTCGCCTGCCGGTGGCCCGGCTGTGGGGCTGTCGGGCCGTCAGGTACTTCTGTGAGGGGAGGGAGGCCCTCTGCCTGCCCAAGGGGGAGAAGTGGGGCTTGGAGGGCTCACGGGCTTTTGTAGGTGGAGAGGTTTTTGTGGTTACTTCGAGAAAGCGTGTGCTTTGTCCTTTCTCATTTTTTTTTTTCTCTCTCGGGAGTTTCTTTCCAACTCCCGATTTATGCTCCCAAGGAGAGAAATGGTTGAATTGTTCCCTCATGTAAAATGCTAATAGCCATTGCCGGTGCTTAATTACACACGCTTGGAACAGTCTTGTTAAAATCAGTGGGGCCCTTAGCAAAATGAAGTACTCTGCAAGATTGGGTTCTGTGCTGGTATATAAACCAGAAAAACTCATTTCTGTTTGAATTTACAGGCTGCATACAGTAGGAGAAAATTGCTGGAAAACATGAGCGCTTTGGGCTGAGCTATGTGGAAGAGCTGAATATGATTAAGGGACACGAGACTATATGCAGGGAATCTCAGTGGGATAGTCTGAAGATCAAACAAGCAATAGTTACTGCTCCTAGAAACGTGAGCATTTAGCCCTTATTGGAAGATTTAACACCAGATCAATAGCATCAGTTAAGAACATTATCCTCTCCAGGGGTAAAACAGTCCACATGAGCCTGTCATGAATATAAATAAAAATATTCCTAATTAATTCATTGGGTGTTCTGCAGTTCACAGAAAGTAAGGATATCTTCTGAAGTAAGAGACATGAAAAAACAAACTCCTGATCTCAGGGTGATGACTCAAAGAAATAAATCTGTGGAAGAAGACAGTGCTGACAAAAGTCAGAGGAGTCGCTCTGAAAAAGTTAACAGAGCAAATGCTGCTTGTTGTCATGAAAGTGCAGTTGTAAAACTGCCAATAACAGCATTGTTTGCAGGTACCACTAAAAAGTTTGCAATAGTCAAGCACCCAGCGCCACCTCTGAGGCCAGGTTACTAAGGTCTAATCTTCATGTTAATAGCTCCCCTATCTCATTAGAAAAGACAAAAGGTGTTAGTAAAGTAAAGGCTAGAGTGTGCACACTGCAGATGGATCCCCAGAATTTTTAAAGAGATAAAACTGAAGAAATAGATAATGTGATTAAAAACAGTGATAAATTTAGCTCTACAGATTCTGATACAAGTAGAAGCATTTCAAGAAATAGAAAAGTAACCAAGGAAAGCTGTCAGAAGCAAAATGATTTCAAAAACAAAGCAACAAGATTTAGATGCTGAATTGGGAAGGATGCTGAGAAAAGGAAGCAAGCAGCCAAGTGTGAGGTCTGCTCGAGAACAGTTGGAAGAGGCAAAAGATGTGACTAGACCAGACACTTCAAAAACATACGAGAACTTCCAGCAGAGCAAACCTGAAGAGCTTACTTCCACACCAGCATTGCCTGTGAAAGTGGTTGCAAGGTCTATTGATGAAATAATTGCTTCCCTGCAGTCTACTTCTCCATCTCTCTCAGAGCAGACGATCAAAGAACTCCTGGAGAGTGTTCTTGGCCAGAACTACAACATAAAAATGGAGGTAGGTGAACCAGAACAAGAGCAATATTTTTCTCTTGGGTAAATATTACTTTTATAAGAGTTGTATATTTTTTTCCCAGCTCCTACAATGTGTTACAACACAGAAGCCAGACAAAACAAATGGATAAAGGCACTAATGTATCATAGAATATTCTTCACTGTTTCTTCTGCCAGTTTTTTTGATGTTCCTTAAAAATGAAAATGAGCTAATAGAAAAATGTATTAAAACATTAGGTCTTTTGGGGTATTATTTTTATTATACTGCTTATGGTTTAATACATCTTTATCTTTACTCTCCTTTCCCTTTTTAAGATCACATATTCCAGTCTGACAGATGAAAAAGTGCATTAAATGCATTAGGGACATTGTTGGAAGTATTGCTTCTTTTAGTTATTATTTAGCTTGTGAAATCTCGATAAGACAAATTCTTTATTGTCACAGCTAGGTAGATTGTGTAAGCAGCTGTAAGAGAGTCTCTTCAATTAATTACAGCAGGAGACGTCAGTAATACTAGACATGAGAGAGAGGCTACAGAAAACTTTTGTAGATTTTTACCAGAGGTTTGCTGATTAATTTGTTGACTAGACTAGTAACTTACTATCAGATGGCTTTTTGTCCCCTCTTAGCATGACTGATAGTTTTGATCTAGTTCAAGAGGGCTGAAACCTATGCCACAAAAATCTCTATCACACTTCTTGTTCATGCTAGCACTTGTCAGGGATGCCATGGAATGAATAGACCCATGGAGGGTGAGCTAGTCCTTTTCAGCAGCAATGGCCTCTGCAAGGAAGTGTGGAAGACTGATGAAAAGCATATGAACCTGTGTTTTAGGAGATGATAAAGAACATTGTTTCCCACAACTCTCAAAATACTCCCTTTTATGGTCATAGAATGTCTCTCGTAGAATGGAAGCGTAATACCTTACGTTCATGTAATGCGAGATTGACTCTTTTGAGTAAAAAAAAAAAAAAAAATAGCAGAAAAAAGAATCCTGAACTGAGTTAAACGTGTAATTCAATGAGCAGCAATAGTCTGAAACTGCATTTCCAGTAGATTTATGTCCTCTGATTTGATTTTGTTCTAAGAGCTGTTTGTGTGGTTGAGGCATTCAGAGTGTCTCCCGCTCTCTGTATATTTTTCTAATGTATTTCAATTGGGGCTGAAATCAGAGCAGACTTTCCTCAGTGTGGCAGCATAGGGGTGATCTCTCTTCATGGCTTGACTTGTGTTTTAGGATGTAGTAATTTGGGACTGTTCTCTTTGTCTGGTTGAAATTTGCCAATTGGTTATAAAAAAACTTGAGGCAGATGGGAAGAGGGCTAGAGAAGATCCTGGACCTGGAAAACCATTTCTTGATCAACTTCCCAGAAATTTTAGTGGTTGGTAACTTGTGCTGAGTTGCGTGGGTTTTCTTACTCTTTTATGAACATCTTAGATTCTAGGTAAGATTTTCAAAGTTTGGCCTCTAGCAAATCCTGGTATTTTAAAATTGAAGAGAACTGATTTTCTGTTGTTTGTAGTGGGAGCTGCTGGGCTGTGAGCTTTGAAAATCTGACCTCTGGAGAACTGTGATGTTTAATTCTCTGTTTTTAAAACTTGCATCAATCAGGTTCAAAGTAAAACGAAAATTTAAACTTGGTGAAGACTTTCTGGTCCAGTTGTTTGTTGTTTAATGTTTTTTTAGGTATGGACATCAGTGAAGATGAATGAGACCCTTGCTGATTACATTTTATTATTTTTTTTTTTAATCAAAGGCATTTGCAGCAGGTGTCTTTTGAACTTAAGTGACCTTATAAATAGGATGAAGGCTCTAGCAATTCTTTATTATTATTATTATGCATGGTTTATTTACTTTACACTGAGCTTCCAGGCTTGCCTTCTCTAATGAAGTGAGAAATGTATTCTTTTAAATGAAATAGAAGTACGTAGGAAAAGAACAGAACTACTAAAATGAAAATAAGATCTCATTGTTTTTCATTTCTTACAAAAAAAAAAAATCCGTTCTCTTTATCTTTTCTTGATCTTGCATTAATGACTGGTTAGCATTGATAGCTTATGATATTGCTGGGGGGGCTGAGTGCTGTTTTCCCCCCAGCATTGAAAAGGGCATTATCTGGGGAATGGAATGCTAGCTCGGTGGGACATTTGTACTTAGCCCTGTTTCCTTTGAGAGAAGTCAGTTATGAATAATGATTCCTACAACATTTTCTGTAAACAGGTAGATTTATTTATTTATTTATTTATTTATTATATGAATAATATAATTTCCAATGCCAGGAGTAATTTTGTTGCCTTGAGGCTTGTTGCTACCCCTGGAGTATATTAAGTTATATGTTGGATTTATCATCCATAGGAGGCTGTTTATATTCATTTCAGAAACGCATTTTCTTGGTATTCAGGTTGATGTTCAGTTTTCTTGGTGATGAACCTGCAGCTCATCTTTAGTTACTGTTTTCAGCAGATCAGTTCTTTGGTACTTTCATTCTTTCAGATGACCTTGTGAGGGTGGTAACTAAATGAACAACATTTTTGTTCTTGAAAAGTAACATCAAATTTGAATGTTTCTATTAAACAAGGACTATACAGTGCACCACACTACCAGCAAGCCAACATAAAACATAATTTAGTTTTAAAAAACCATCTCTAGCTCTTGACTGTTAATCTCAGTAGTGAGGCCTTGAGAGGATTTTTTTCTCTGTAATTCATTAATAGTCTCTCAAAAGTGGTTTGATGGAGACTAATTATTGTTAAAATTCAAGAAGAGATAGAATTCTATTTGCTTTATATCTATAAGCAAATAAAAACAATTATTTGCTCGTAACTTTACGGTATCTCACTTATTGAGCAAATAATACGATCTCTGTTTCAGCTGACATGAAAATTACAACAGATCATATTCTGCTTTCTGATAAAACAGTGTTTTTGAGAAGCTTATTGAAAATATTATTTTTTTTTCCCTTTAGGTGCTAATAAGGTGTATTCTGAATGTTGTGCAAATGAACAAGATACTTCAATTTATTTCATTGAGTTCTTTTTAAGTGGTGAAAACCCTAAGTCTTCCTATTGGTTTTCTTATTTTCTGCTTAGGTAAATCAAGACCATGATGCCTTTTATTACGAGTTTGCTATTACATTGCTAATTCAGGAAGCACCCATTATTGGCTCTGCTTGTTAAGGTTAATCATGGCAGAGATTATGGCACTTCCTGCCACTTGCTGAAGGAAGCTGCTCAGTCGTCGAAGGGTGGACACTACCACTCTTGGATACAGTTAACTCGTATTACTTTAGATTTTTTTTTTTTTTTTTTTTTTAAAGTTTTCTTTTCATAATGTTGCAAGAAACCACCTGGGGAGAGCTGTTGGGTAGATGGTTTACATGTGCGGACTTGTGAAATTTGTTTCTTCAAAGTTACCAGTTCAAGTAACTAATTAAAACAAATCCAGTTGTGCAGTTTGTCACATTTTATCAACGATCACTTTCCAGTTCCTGATGACCATTAGGCCCACATCATTTATGCTTGTCTTTAAAGTGCTACAGGCTTCATGGGGCAAGGACTATCTTTTTACCCTGACAAAATGGGAGACTAATCTTCATTGGGTCAGTAAGCTGCTGTTGTGATTTGAGAGCAAATTGTTTTTAACCAGATAGACTGTAATCTCCCAGAGTTTCAAGTTTTGTCAAAGGGGTATGGGGTGATTAGCTATGTTTGTGTATAAATAATTTGTATAAATTTACCACTTAAAAAGAATATTTTAAATTATTTGTATGTTCATACATCTAGATTGACTTTGTTTTTTCATTTATCAGGGTCTTTTCTGCACTGGTGATAGACTTTTCTTGTCAAAACAGAGAGGAAAGTAATTTATTTTAATAGCGTGTAGTTGTCAAATGAGGAATCAAAAAAATACCGGATGAAAATATTTAAGTAAGATAAATGTAGAGGTAATTATTAAAAAACCCACACCCAAATGACAATGAAAAATCTTTATTTTCTTTATGTCAGGGCTCACAATGAGTCTTTTCAGCTACAAAAGGATTCCACGGACATACGAAAATGACTGAAAATGTTAAAATGGTTTCTAATGAATTATCAAGGTACTCGGGTACCTAAATAGTTTTCTACACCTGCAGGAGGAAGGCTATGGCTAACAAAGCTGGTTTTTAAAGGTGCAATAAAAGTTTCCATCACAAGGTTAAAATATCAGTGCAGGAAACAGCTTCATCAAGAATGGGCAGAACACTGAAGAACAGATTCCCACAGGAATTAAGAGTTGCCACAGTTCTCAACACTTTTCTTTCCCAACGTTAGATCACAGCTCTTTGGCCTTGTTTTTGGTAAGGCAAACACACAGCCCATAGTACATATATAGATAGTACACATCATTTTATTAAAATAACACCATAGCATTGTGCCTGCGATTCTCCCATGGGGAGAGGACAAAAGAGGAAACACCGCACCCAACAAAGGAAAGCAGTCACATAACATGTACAGGTGTCTAAAATGAAATTAAGATAATATTTGCTCATATAATTCTGTTGGTTTTGACAGAACAGGAAAATTAATATGTAAAATTGTAATTTACATATTATGCAATAGTTTAGAAATGTAAGTTGATCCAGTCTAGTTGAATGAAAAGCTTTGTGAAAATTTGTCTTTGATTCCACGAATTAGATAATAAATTGGATGGGGAAAGAATTACAGTCAGCTAAATGCACTGTAATAATAAATAGTCCATGGTAATCACCGCGTTTGAAAATACGTGTGGCAAAGAAGAGAAGGTTGTTTGGTATAGCTTGAGAAGGTAATGCTGAATCTGTTCCTTTTAGTCTGAGTTGTTACTACATTCCTCTATTTTAGTACCTTGCTTTCACGGTGATTAAAAAAAAAAGTAATATGATTTTTTTTTTTTCTTAAGCTGTCTTTTTTGTCAAAGGTAGGTAAATTACTAAGGTTTGGGGTAAAAACAAAACACCAACGTGTACAATCTTCTGCAAGGTCATA